GCCACGTTGGGCTTCCTTTGGTTAAGAAAACTGGAAGATAAGCAATAAATAAAACAAATTTTAAATCTTCATTTAGAGAAACAAAGCCCAAGTTCCCAAGAAAGATGTTAAATTATTTTTGTATGTTACAACTTCTGCTCGTATTTTATTAGCTAAAAAGTGGAAAACCCAAGAATTACCAACGATAGAAGAATGGCAGATGAAGATGATGGATTTTTCAGAGCTAGCCGACCTAACTGGAAGAGTCCGTGACCAGAAGGAGGAGGAGTACCAGGAAGAATGGAAAAAAATTAATGATTATTTAATTAAATATGTTAAGTTAAATATGTGAAGTTAAATAACTTGCAGATAACTAATAGGCTTAGGATTTTATGTAAGTTAAGTGATGAATCAATTTGTATAATTTCAAAAGGTAAAGATTGAAAGATGTTAAAGCTAAAGGTGCATTTTATAAGAACTGTGATTTGGAAAACCGTTAAATGGATATGCATAGAAATTCAACCAAGGGGAAGCGAGGAAGTCACTTAACAATGCTAATGAGTATAATTTCTAATAAGATTATGATTTGTGTTTGTTTGTTTGTTTGCTTGTCTTGTTTGTTTATAATTTTGTGAAAATTAATTTTAAAAAATGGGGGGGGGGGAGAATGGAGAAACAAAGCCATGATATTAATATAACAAAACAAACAAACAAACACATCCCTCTAGGCAGGGAAATATGTTGCGTATTGTCATCAACAGAGAAACAATTGTATTTCATGTCTTCTGGGACCTGGTCATAGCTTTCAGAGATTCAGTACAGTGCTTCATGTCAAAAATTGAATTGATCCATGATGGCTTTTGCTTTCCAGTCTTATGTGCTGGAAAAAAGGACCGTTCCCTTGTCTCATGGTTCTGTGATGGAGTTAACAACCTAGCAAAATAGTTTCATTAGGAAGTAAACCTCTCCCTGGTGAAGCATTTCTATATAGTGTTTCATTACCAGCTCCCTAGCAGGGAGGTTTAAACCTGGACCTGAGGGAGTTAACTCTTCACTGTTAAAGAGCTCTCTTGACAGTTAAATAGATTAACTCCCCTGGATGTATTATTTTTATTGGTAATGGAATTAACTTTGTCGCAATACAGTTTTGTATAAGGAAGATGCATCTCCACTGCATGACAAAATAGTTCTCTGAATACTTCAGTGATTGGTTCACTTCCTGGCTTAAGTATCGTTTTTAAAAAATGGGCCTTGAGGAAAAAAGGATGGCAGTTTTTTCTGTCTTTGGCAGCAAGGATATTGGCTTGCTAATGCCATGGTTTCAAGCTAGTAGGTGGGCAGGTCAGTTATTCAATTTTGTAGTAAGAAATGTAACAATGAAGATAGGGTGGCCACATAGGTAAAGGTAAAGGGACCCCCCCCTGACCATTAGGTCCAGTAGCGGATGGCTCTGGGGTTGCGCCGCTCATCTCGCTTTACTGGCTGAGGGAGCCGGCGTACAGCTTCCGGGTCATGTGGCCCAGCATGACTAAGCCACTTCTGGCGAACCAGAGCAGCACATGGAAACGCTGTTTACCTTCCTGCCAGAGCGGTACCTATGTATCTACTTGCACTTTGATGTGCTTTCGAACTGATAGGTTGGCAGGAGCAGGGACCGAGCAATGGGAGCTCACCCCGTTGCGGAGATTCGAACCACCGACCTTCTGATCGGCAAGCGCTAGGCTTTGTGGTTTAACCCACAGCGCCACCCACTTACACATCGCCAAGAGAGAGATGACGAAAGAGGGCACAGATTTGCATAAAATCTGTGTATGCAGAGTTATATCATAGAATCATAGAGTTGGAATAGACCACAAGGGCCATCGAGTCCAACCCCCTGCCAAGCAGGAAACACCATCAGAGCACTCCTGACATATGGTTGTCAAGCCTCTGCTTAAAGACCTCCAAAGAAGGAGACTCCACCACACTCCTTGGCAGCAAATTCCACTGTCGAACAGCTCTTACTGTCAGGAAGTTCTTCCTAATGTTTAGGTGGAATCTTCTTTCTTGTAGTTTGGATCCATTGCTCCGTGTCCGCTTCTCTGGAGCAGCAGAAAACAACCTTTCTCCCTCCTCTATATGACATCCTTTTATATATTTGAACATGGCTACCATATCACCCCTTAACCTCCTCTTCTCCAGGCTAAATATACATTATATCTATATGTATAGATATAAATTTAGAAACAGTTACTTTAATTTAAACTGAAATACAATGTATCTCATCATGTCAAGATGCTGTTGATGAGCAACTTGTTCTCTCTTACATTTTTTAAAAAATCTTTAAAGCAGACTTGGACTGGACAGGCCATCAAACAGCAGGCTGTTCCCTGTGAAGTCGGACACATGGGCAATTCTAGGAGTGGGGTGCACTGAACAAACATTGCTTGTTTCCTCCTCCCCACCTCCCCATACCCTGAAATTAGCTGTTCTAACATGGAACTAAATGCCATAAACTGTATGTTACATTAATGGGCACATATATGGCAGTTTAGCATTCTGTAAGGACATTCCATTCTCCCTACTCAATAGTTTCCTACCCTCCCAATACAGCACATGCACAGTGCTTATCAGGCTTTTTTCGGGGGCAGGGTGGGTGGGTGGGTGGATGGGTGGTGTAACCATTTTTTCCATGGTTATTATTTGTGCTTCAGCAAACCCTGGGTTTTCCTCTAGCTTGTTGATACCTTGTGTGCCTTTCTGACAACATCGTGTGGCACTCATGGCCTGAAAATCAAAAATGGATAATTATATTTGCCAAGTTAATATGTAATCAAACTAAAGCATCTTCCTGGCTCCATTATTCTGCTCAGTGGTGCTGTCAAGAGTGGAATTTTGGGGCAGAAGGCCAGAACCCCATTCAACACAATAGGCAGGAGGACACCCCCACCCTCAAATGCAGCAGGTTTGGCTTATCTTATTCTAAAGTTAAGTGAAATACTACGCATTACCATATAAAGAGAGGGGTCCTGCTCATATGACCATTAATTTCAGAGTCTAAAATTTGCAAACTGTATCACTGCCTCAGCTTCCTTCCTGGACCTTTTTCGTGGATGGAGCCACAGTCCTATGCAGGCTAACTGAACTTCTTGGGGCTTGATTCTAAGTGAACTTGCAGAGGAGAGGATTTAAGGAAGGATCGCCATTAAAAAGCAGCAAAAGCTATAGTAGTGAATGTATTGGCATGAAAATGCTTATCTTCTCCACTTCTGAATGATTATATCTGTCACAACAACATAATAAACTACTTCCAGCATTTCAATGATGCATTTGAAGCAAGTTCGCTGGGAGTGGATTTTAGCTGAAGTCCTGCTGGTTTACCTAGTCCTTTAATGCTGCTTTAGTGGAGATTTGAAAAAAGTGCCTCCCTCCCTAACAGAAATTATTTCTAAATCTGTCTTGGAAGAGGGAATGAATATTTAGAAGCTGACTGGAAAGTAGGGAGGCTAATCCAAGATTCATTCTGGATTATGATATTGTCATGCAGTAAATCATAATTGTGAGTGCTATCCTATACCCACATACCTGGGGAGTAAACCCCATTGGATTCAACGGGGCTTTCTAAGTAGTTATATACATAGGATGGTGCCATAGTAAGACTTATCATATCATTCTCTGAACTACAATGTATTTGGTGAGCAGTAACTATAATACTGTAAGAGAGGTACAACAGAGCAATTATTCCTGGGATTATGCAGGTAACTGAGCAATTAATACACATATAACCAGATTACAATGACAATAGCAATGTTCTTTAAAATATGAAAGATCCAGCTAAAATAATAACAATCAAGTGGCAAAAGTATGAATAAGGAATGTTCATGTGGCACTTTTAAAGTATTAAGAGTGGACAGCACACTTGAAGCATGGGGATATGGACAAGACTGTGACAGCACGAGTCATCATTCATTTCGCCAGTATGGACACCTGTCATATCAGTTGAGAGAGAAGCATGGTTGTGCTCTGCTTGGGAATTTGCTGCGAGTTCTATCTTCATTGTGCTAGCAGGCGATTTCGGACAAAGCATCAGAGGGGATATTTTTCTCAGGTCCACAGCAGAAAGAGGGTTAATTTCCTCATCTCCATCTGCTGCAAGCCTTATAACAAGCACCTCCCATAAATGCTATTTCCTTTTTCAAAAAGTGTGCATGTTTAAATGCACGGTATCTTCAACTCCATGTCTAGCTTGTCCCTTAGTAAAAGGCCTGAGTGGTAGCAGAGTGTTTTGCTTGGAAAGCTCAGCTCTTCAATAAAGTGACCGTGGTTTTGTTTCATGTTAAGTGAAACTGAAATTGACTGGACAAAGTATAAGGTCAGATATCCAAATGGAAGGATGGGTGATACTGTCGGCACCTAAAATACGGCTTTTCCTGTTCACAGAGGAGCGACATGGATAAGTTACTGTATTTTCTGCTGAGGTCATGGTGGCCCTGAGGTGGGAACGTGCGGTTTTGTGCTCTGTCAAACTATATTTGTAGAGTTTAAACCTAAGAAGCATGGTGCTGATAATGCCAAGGTTGCAGGTTCGATCCCCGTATGGGACAGCTGCATATTCCTGCATTGCAGGTAGACTGGATGGTCCTCAGTGTCCCTTCCAACTCTATGATTCTATGAATGGAGGGGAAGGGGAATATTATTGTTTCATGCCAGCTGCTCTGCTCTGGGCCCTTCTGGCGGGCGCGCACATGATGCGTAAAAGCAGAATCCTAGGATGCTTCAGAGAAGACCTGGTCCAGAAAAATCTGGGGAGCGCAACTAGAGTCCCTTGTCCGAGGAGGAGAAGAAGCTAAAAAAAACAACAACATATGGCCGCATGGGCCAAGACCAGAGCATCCCTCGCTCTTGGAGACCCGACCAGATCGCCTTCCCCGTGGAAGCGCCGACTGCAGGCAAAGGGAATGGCAGGCGCGCGGCTCTTGAGGTTCCCTGGCTCCACCTCCCCGCCTGCGTTACCGCGCCCGCCCCGCTCTGGGAAGGAGGGAGGCGGGCAGGCGGAGGGGCGAAGCTGCCGCTCGGAGGGCCATCCTTGCCGGCGCCGAGGGGGTTAAGCAGCTGGGTTGTGCGGAGGCCGCCGCTCGGCTCGGCTCTGTTCTGCTGAGAGTCGGGGATCGCTCTGCCAGTGGGAAGATGGCGACGGAAGGAGCGAGCGGGGAGCCCGGCTCTGGCAACCGGGGCGATCCGGAGGCAGCGGTAGGTGAAGCGCGGGGCTTGCGGCGCGCGGCTGGAGGAGGCGGCTCCCTTATCCGCCGCCGCCGCCGGGCTGAGCTCCGCGCTGGCTAGCTCTCGGGCTGGTGCTTTGCGCCCAAGCGGGAGAAGGCGCACCTCTCGAGGCTGGAGAGCGGAGCGCGCCGAGCGAGCGCGGGCCCGGCGCGCGTTGTGGGGGGAAAGCGCGCATTGGGTATGGGTCTTTACGCAGAGGAAGGAGGGTGTCTTGGCTTCTGCGCCCCCGGTGAAATGGGGGCTGGAGAGCTCGGGCGCAGGCAGACCTGCAGTCCCCAGGGATCTCTCCTGCCTCGATCGCAGCCTGACGGAGAGAGAGATCGGGGAGGGGAAGCCGGACGGACCCTGGAGACGCCTGGAGAGGCGACCACGGGAGGCCCCGCCGCTCTGATCGTGCGCCCTTGGCGGGGATGGGTGGACATTGGCCGCCCCTCCGACGCCCCTCCCCTCGATCTGGGGATCTTTCGAGGAGGTCTTTGTAGAGGGAGAAGATCCCCTGCTTTTTCCAGGAGGCGGCTCCCTTTTGTTTTCGTGTGTGTGTATTGGGCTGCAGGAACGCGGGCTTTTCTCCTCGCTTGCGGGACGGGTGAAATACAAGGGTCCCCCCAACAGCCCTGGTGGGCTGGCGGCGCGTCACAGAGCATTGACAGCCACAGATCGCCCGCAACCATTTCCAAGGAGGGGGGGGGCTCATCGCCCTGGAATTAATTCCCTCCCCTTCCATATGCGCTGCCTCCCCCGCCCCGCCAAGCCCCCGAATAACAAGCGTGGGTTATTGCCAGAAGCATTATCGGGGGGTTGGGAAGGGTGCTGATGGTCTCGTTTGGATTCCTACCTCTGTTGAAGACTTTATATTAGAAACATAGCTGGGTCACTTAAACTGGGAAATGTTTGGGATGCGGGTGGGCGTTGAAGATCAGGTGGTCCCCCCCCCCCCGAGAACAATAAGCCTATTTTAATCCTCTGTTGTTCTTTCCCCCTCTCCGGCATCCAAGTGGTGGAACAGGAAAGATCTATCTTGTTCTTTTTTTGCTATCGTTGCTGGAGGCTCTCTCTCACGCGAGTACAAGAGCTGTTTAAATTTCCCCCAAGTACAGACCGATTTTAGGGTTTGCCACTTCTCCTGACAGGCTGTTTCACAGCCTTTCCTAGCTAGACTCCCCTACCGCCCAACCACAGTTGTCACGGATGTGCCCTTTTGTTTTCTGATTCATAGGTCAATTTCTAGGCCACTCGCTTTTCTGATTTAATTGGGTGGCAAGTGGAAAGGCATGGAAAAATCCATGCTTTGATTATTCCCTCCCCCCGGGAAGTTGCCAATCAAAATTCTCTTGTCACTTGAAGCAGCATGCAGTTGTTTGCACATAAGATCAAGATGTCACCCCTCCTCTGCTTTGCCTGCTAAGCATTTTGGGGAGGGGGCTGGCCCAAAATGAGGCCAGGGGAAGGACCCTAACCTAAGTAGCAGAGCACATGCAGAAAGTCCTACTTTCAGCTGAAAGACTCTTGTCTGGAACCCTGGAGAGCTACTGCCAATACTAGATTGACCAGTGGTCTGACTCTATAAGACATTTTCCTGTCTCTCTGCTGTAGTTCATGCAGACTGATCTGTGGTGTCATCATTTTTTTATATGTTCGAAACACTTCTTTTTTCAGTAACAACAACAAAATTTTAGGAAACTGCCATAAAATTGGATCTTTGGGGGGCGGGGAGGACTTTCTGGCAACAACCTAGCATATCAGAAGGAAATCTATTCTAAAGGAAATTCTGTGAAATGGGTCCAAACTGGCACTTAAGGCAGCACCGCACATTGCGACTGTTATGCCAATGTGTATCGTAATGTGTGGATGTAATAAATATGTATACACGTGTTGTTAAACATCTGCATGCATGGCTCTGATGTTTAACAATACCTGGAGCTACTCAATTTAGGGTCCTGAATTTAAGCGTTCTATGTGACTTAATGGATTTTTCAGTTGTATAGTACAAACATTTTATTAAACTCCCATTCAAACTGGTTGGAACTAATCTGCTTAAAGATCTTGAAAAGGCAAGCAGCTGAATCAGTTGGTTTTTATTGTTTAGGTATGAGAGATTCCTAAAGTAAACACGCTAATTATTGAAGAGTAAATTAATTTTTTTATAGCTATAGCCATTGGTAATACAACTCAGAGAGATATTTTAAATGAACCTGTCAGTCATACACGCAGGAAGCCTGTATGTGACTGGTTTTATGCTTAGTATTTTTGAAAATCAGGTCACTTATTTCTATATAGGGAGTCAGAAGGCTATTTATAAGCAGCTACCCTATTAAAAAGTTGGTACTTTGAGGTTGATACGAAAGACTTTTCAAGCTGCCTAGTCCCCCCCCCCCATAAATACTGAATTTATTCCCTAACTTAACTTAAAAGAGGGAATGAGATGGGCTTATTTTTCCAAACAGTTAGGACATTTTAGAAAAGGCTACATTAGAGTTGCAGTGTGGGGTACACTTACCAGGGAGTAAATTCCACTGAGGCCAGGAGAACATGGTGTTGAAGTAACTAGGCTACTAAAACAACATTATTGGTTTTTGTTCTGAATAAAGAAGAAAAGCTAGTATCTTTACTAAGAGATAGATTTTGGATTTTTGCCCAGATTAATTTGTAACTTGGAAGTTCAGTAAGATTTCCAGAGGAGTGCTTTCAGTTGAATGTAAGCCATGCAGCTTAGTTTTTCCAGCCCTCAAAGTATAGATAGCCCAATAAACAATTTAAAAGGAACGACAATGGTTATAGAGCAGAGTTCTAACGTTACTTAACTTTCAGCATAAGGCTGCCATTTTAAGCACAACTGCCTTGAGGTATTTTATGCTAGCTGCTGTTTCCAGGACATCTTATGAAAGTGGGGGCGGGGGGCGGGGGACCCAGTAACTTTCAGCAGCAATACTGGCAGGCTTCTGCAGGAAGACGAAAAATGCACAGAATACTATGGAAAAAAATAAGCCTGCCTTTTAATGTCAGCAAGAAATTTATGACTGAAAAAAGAAGAGACTTCTTTAATGGCCATATTTGGGAAGGAAGCCAAGATTCTTCCCATTCTCAGCTTTCCTGAACTAAACCGTAGCAGTTGGTATGTGGGGGATGCAAACCTGAGTATCTGCTTTGTTGCCATGGTAATAGGGATAAGGGGAAACTTGAAGGCAGTTGGTGTGATTCACCCCTCACACCTACATGAAGCTGAAGAACACACAGCCAGCGAAGTCTGTGTGAAAGGCATCCTTCATGATGCAGAAGGGCCTAGCTCAGAGCAGCTGCCAAGCGTGCAAAAAGTCACAGGTTCCATGTCTGACGTCTCCAGACAGGGCTGGGAGAGAATGTCTGTCTGAAACTCTGGAAAGCGACTGCAGCTAGTCGGTGTAGACCAGGGTGATCCAAGTCATCCCTCCTCCTTCACGAAGTCTGGTTGCTCTTTTCCAGCTTTGGAAAGGAGGTGGGAAGGGTCTAGGGCCTGCCAGAGCCTAGCTCCTCCTTCCCCAAGCCCAGTGCCTCACTTAGTCAGCTTTGGGAAGGCAGCGCGAAGGCAGGCTGGGAGCAAGCAGCACATTTTGGGCTCGCTCCCCACCAGTGTCAGAAACTCAGATATATCAGTTGGGCACCAAATAGCTCCTTAAACCAAGGTTACAGCTGCCATAGCGGAATGTCTAGTTGCCATTTTGGGACAAGACGGCTCCAAAGTCTTATTTTTCAAATGATGGACCAACCTTTAAAGCCCTAAATGGCCTCAGTCCTGTATACCTGAAGGAGCGTCCCCACCCCCATCGTTCAGCCTGGACACTGAGGTCCACTGCCGAGGGCCTTCTGGCAGTTCCCTCATTGCGAGAAGTGAGGTTATAGGGAACCAGGCAGAGGGCCTTCTCGGTAGTGGCGCCTGCCCTGTGGAACGCCCTCCCATCAGATGTCAAGGAAATAAGCAGCTATCTTATCTTTAAAAGACATCTGAAGGCAGCCCTGTTTAGGGAAGTTTTTAATATTTAATGCTGTATTGTTTTTAACACTTGATTGGGAGCTGCCCAGAGTGGCTGGGGAAACTCAGCCAGATGGGCGGGATATAAATAATAAATTATTATAATATTATTATTATACCTAGTTCAGATGACAACCTTGAGCTGGGTTGCATATCCTAATTAACTTAATTTGTTCATTTATTCATCTACTTTAAAAATATACGCTTATGAAATGGCAGGTTGTTACAATAATCCTGCCAATGTTCTTATTTGTTTACAATTTGTCTGTAAATATTCAATAAACCATTTCCATTCTTTTATAAAAAGTTTGTTATCTTGATTTCCTTTGGGGGGGGTAAATTTTGCAATTTCTGCATATTCCATCAGTTTTTGTATCCATTCTTCCTTTGCTGGGACTTCTGCTTCTTTCCATTTGGGGGCAAGTAACATTCTTGCCGTTGTAGTAGCATACATGAATCAGTTTCTGTACAGTTTGGGTAGGTCTGTCCCTATAATTCCCAAAAAGGAAAGCTTCTGGATTTTGTTTTGTTTTTACAAACATTATTTTAAACATCTTTTCCAATTCATTATATATCATTTCCCAGTAAACTTTAACCTTACTACAAGACCACCACATATGATAAAGATAACCTTCTTTCTCTTTACATTTCCAACACTTATTTGATTCAGATTTATACATTTTTGCCAATTTACTGTTTCCATGAGACTTTCCACTGAATCAGACCAGCTGTTCCCAACCTTGCACTCTCCAGATATGGCTGAACTCCAGCTCCCATTAGCACCAGCCCATAATGCCAGTGGTCAGTGGCTCCCAGAATGCATAGCATTGGTATTTCATGCTCTTTATTGGTGCCAGCAGTGTTGGCATGCAAATGCTAAAATGGTGTGCTGTGCGTGTTACCAAGCCTTTCAACATTATGCTCATAGCACAGAAGGGCTTTCCTGTGGCTTGTGTTGTACCTT